CCCTCAGCCACCTGCTCCTCTCTGTCCTATCCACCCTAGGAAACAGCACCGCCAGCCTTCCTGGTGCTCAGGCCCAAAGCTCAGAGTCACCCTGAACTCCTCTCCCCCACTCTACTTCCCATCTGTCAGCCAGGAGGGGCCACATGATTTGCAGGGCCCAGAGCAAAATGAACATGCCGGAACCCTGTTCCACAATGATTAACCAGGTTGGGGTGGTGACAGCAGGGCGTTAAACCAAGTGTGAGGCCCTTCTGAGCGCAGGGCCCTGGGTGACTTCATAGCTCACATGCCTATGGAGCTGGGCGGTCACCAGCAGATCTGATTTCAAGCCCCTGCTGTGCTCAAAACCCTGCAGTGGCTGCCCAGCAAAACCCAGTCCTCACTGAGGCTCCGGGTCCCCACAGGACACCCTCGCCCCACCCCCACTCTTGGCCTTGCTCAGGCTGTAGGGCCACACTGGCCTCTGCTCCCGTTCCCTCTGCCTAGGCACCGGCATCGTGCCGGCCAGTTCTGCTGCCTCCAGGCTGTGGGGCCACTTCTGCAAAAGACTAGGAGCCCCAGGGTGGTGAGGCGCTTAGTGTTTTGTGTCCTTTGGCCTGTCTCTGGTCCTAACAACAGCTATGTCCATTCTGAAGGGGGCAAGGGGCCTTTGCTGGGCTTTAGGGCATCAAGAATGCCAAAGATTTCACAGAGAGGAGCGGGCTCTGTGCACACCTCGGGGGAGGAGTATCCTACCTTCAGGACCCCCTGCAGCACCCCAGGAAGCCATGGAAGGCTGTTCCCTCAGACTCACCTCAGCACAGGGAGGGGCTCACGAGGAAGACCCTGGGGCCCAAGGTAATACTGCACCATGATGACCAGGGCCAGGTAGCAGGAGGCCAGGGTGCCTAGGAAGCTAACACACATGCAAGACCATAAACACAGAGCGGAGTGAATGCCAGCTCTGCCCACACTAGCAAGGTGTCGGGCAAAGTTCCCACGGCTCTGAGCCTTGCTTTCCCTATCAGCACAGTGGGGACAGCGGGAAGACCACTTCAGGCAGGACTGTTCTCAGGCCCAGAGTTCAGATCGGTGGAGTTCCTAAGCGGGCCACACCTGTGAGGCTGTGATGGCCACTGGGATCCCCATCTCTCCAAGGACAGCCACACAGCTGCTCAGACGTGGCATCTAAGTCAGGGCACCGACTTAGGGGAGGAGGACCTCTGACTCAGCTGGGGTGTGTGCGCAAAAGAGACTATGGAGGGTTGGGGGCACCTAGGGGGTTCGAGTCCCCTGCCCACTGTTTCTCTATTTCCAAGATAAAAAGTCCATTGTTACTCTGAACACACAGGGAAAACATAGGTTCCAAATTTGTATAATACTTTTGCCAGACTTAATTTTTTCAAAAATATACGTAAAGCCACAGACCATAATGTGAAAACATGTGTGTGTACGTCTGTGTCTCTGTGCCTGTGTATATGCATGCGTGGGCATATAAAGTCTGCAATAACGAAATAAAACATCAGCAGCAGGTTATGTCATTATGGTAGTTGTCTTTTGGGCTTCTCTATTATTTTCTATCACACATATATGTTACTTGTGTAATTTTTAACTTCTGTCCCCTTCTAATAGAAAGGCCAGTGCTAACAGCTCCCCTGCCAGAGGAGGACAGGAACCCGCCCCCCCCAAACGTCAACTATGGTGGGGACCCAAAGCTTCTGCCCTACCAGGAGCCCTGCAGCTCCCCGTACCTCGTGGTTTTCTGGAAGCCGATCTCCCTCGGGGCAGACAGGGGCAGGATGACCAGCATGGAGAGCAGGGTCAAGGTGAAGCGCTGGTCGGTGTACCAGGGCTGCGGGGCTGGCGGCGTTCCAGGCAGGAGGAAGTCACATACTGCGGGAAGGCGGAAGGAGGCGGGGGCCACAGTGAGCCCCGCACGGCTCTCACCCAGCTGTCAGAGTCCTGGCCCCAGGCTCCCAGCTCTCAGTCCCTGGCAGTGTTTGCCATGGGCACTAAGTCAGCCCTGTGAGTCTAAAGGGATGGGACAAGCGTGACGGGAACCCTGTCACAAGCCACCATGAATCTGGCTGCAGGAATTCATTCAACAGATGTTCACTGAGCTCCTTCTGCCAGCTAGGCACTGCTCTTCGGCTGGAATCCAGCGACAAGTGAGACAAAAAGACCTACCCTTGAGGTACCTGGGCGCTTATGTTCTTGTAAAAGATCCTTTTTGCTTCTGCTCAGGAGCTCAGTGGGTGTGTGGGGTCTAGCTGGGGCCTGGAGTGGCCTTTTGGTGAGGGTGCTGGAGTCACCGTTCTGTCACTGCTGCACAAAAAACGACCCCCAAACAGTGGCCTGGAGCAACCACTTGATTACCTGCCATGAACAGGATGTGAAGAACTGGGGCAGGGCTGAGCTGGCTACTTCTGCTCCATGTGGTACTGGTGGGGGTCACTAGGGGGTATCTAGTTGGTGGGAGGGCTAGTCTGGAGGGTTCTCGATGGTTCTCCCCACACCAGGTGCATGGTGGGGATGCCTGGGCTCAACTGCAGCCTTGGGGCCTCTCTGTATGGACCCCCACCAGTGGTCTAGCCCAGCTGGGGGCTCCCAGAGACCCAGGTGGAAATTGCCCATCCTCTTGAAGGCCAGCCCTGAAACTGGCATGGTGTCACATCTATCATACTCTGATTCAGGGGAGGGGACACATCCCACCCACCTCTCAGTGGAAGGCACACCAAAGAACCTGGGACCATCTCACTTCGCCACAGTAAGATGGAGAATTTGAAGTTGGTATCAGAGGCAAGACAGATGGGGGGAGGGGGATGGCGGCAAAGGGAAGATGGCTTGAGGCCGGAGCCCGAGGGCTGAAGCGGCCCCTCCAGACCCACTGGGGGTGGCTGAGAGCTGAGTACTTGCACTGCCCTTTCTTTGTTCTCACCAAATGCTCAATAAAGCCAGCCATGCAAAGAAACAAATGCCTTATGAGAACAGCTTGTTTCTACTGAAATGACGCAAGGGACAGTCTCACATAGCGGTCATTGCACAGAGGCACCCATGTGGGAGGGGGAGGCAGGCGTTCTGGGCCAGAGATGCCAAGAGAATGCACGCACCAAAGCTGCACAAGGACCTGGGTGCATGTAGTGCCCGCATATGTGGGGTGCAAGCCCTCCATCCCTCTGATCTCCTGCAGCCAGGACACCCAGCTCTGACATCAGGGTTACACCAGCTCCTTCCCAAACCCGCACATTCTAGGACATTCCTCGACGTCCTCAGTGCCAACCACTTACAGTCAATGCATCTGTACCCAGTACATTCAGTGACTTCCCCAACCTCCATGTAGCCCTCCTCCGGGAAGCCTGGACTGGCCTGCAGAAGGACATCCCTGAACACCTAACAGCTGCAGCTGCTGGGTGCAGTGTTCTAGAACTGTCCATCAGAAACACACAGGCAAGGCCCTCTCCTCCCGGTCAGCCCCGCACAGCCAGGGTGGCCTGGATCTCCTCGGCGCGCCACACCCGAGCCTGCGCGCAGCTTCGGAGTCCTCCTCACACAGCAGTATGGCCGGGTGACCGGAGGTGAAACTGACGTGACCCCGAGTTGCCACTTGGAAGCAGGGCATTTTGTGCCCATTTACCCACCGCAGGTTCAGATCTACCGACCCCAATGCTTTATGGGATAAGAGTGCTGCCCAAAACAGAAGTCTTAAAATTCAATACCCCAGAGCCAGGGGCCTTTTCCTTCATGGTTAACATGACAGAGAACAAACCAAAGAAACAGCAAAATGGTGGGGCGCAATCTAACCACATCATTAGTTACATTCCAATTAGAAGTCTGTCTGAGATCACAAGATGATAAAAAAGCAAGGCCCGACCACATGCTATCTATGAGAAATGCACTTTGAAACCCAAGCCACAGTTAGGTTCACAGGGAATGAACGGAAGAGAAATACAGCACAAACACTGAGCTGACGGCAGAGGACTGTCTGTGTCTATAGCAGAGCAGGGTGATTTAGTGACAAAGTGTCACCAGAGACAAAAAGGGATATTTCATAATAATAAAAGGATAATTCGTGGGTGGGTGCCTAATGACAAAGCTGCAAGAATCATGGGCAAAAATGGACAGAATTAAAGACAGAAATAGATAAATCTGCAATCACAGCTGGCAATTTTAAAATATATATTTTTTAAAATATGTTTTTATTGATTTCAGAGAGAGGAAGGGAAAGATAGATAGAAACATCAATGATGAGAGAGTCATTGATCGGCTGCCTCTTGCACACCCTCTGCTGAGGATCGAGCCCACAGCCCGGGCATGTGCCCTGACTGGAAATTGAACAGCGATCTCCTAGTTCATGGGCTGACACTCAACCACTGAGAAATACTGGCCAGGCTCACAGTTGGCAATTTTAACACGCCAAAAATCAGCAAGGCTCTGGAAGATCTGATCAAAGCTGTGGACCACTGTGACCAGATGGAGAATTCTAGAACACTGCACCCAGCAGCTACAGAGGCACATCCTTTCAGAGCGCGTAAAATGTTCACCAAGACAGAAATGTGGGAGCCCATAGACAAGTCTCAAATGCCAAAAATGGAGATCACAGAGTGTGTTCTCTGACCACTTATACAATTAACCTTTAAAAGACGGCATTTAAAAGACAGCATCATACAAACTCCATATATTTTCCAGGATCAACTGTACAAATAATGGTTTCTTTCCTTTTGCCTGTAAAAAAGAACGTATATGCTTAGGTTTCTGGGTATTTAACCTTTAAAAGATGGCATTTAAATTCCGTCAGCATTTAAATTCGGCCAGCGGGACCCACTCCTTGCCGGGAACTAAAGTTCCCTTTCAGCGGACAAAGGTTAAGGTAGAACCCAAAAAAGGATCTAAAAAACTCCCGAATAATTAGAACTCAAACCATACAATGCTAAACATCAAAGAAGAAATCACAGCAAAATTTAACAACTGTTTTGAATGGAACAAAAATGAAAATAGGACATATCAAAATTGGTGGGATGCAGCAAAAAGCCGTGCTCAGAGGGAAATTGTTAGTGGGGAACTAGAGGCCGAGGTGCATGGGGTTTAGAGTCTCCGATGTCCCAAAACTCTAAGTGTTATTGGTTCTCTCTCATAGGGCTTCTTTGCAGCGGACCCCATTGGACATCCCAGCCACAGCCTCCCCTCCCCCCATGACTCTTTACTGTGCTGGCAATTACTAATTCCAAGCCTCCCTTCCCCAGGACGTTAGGAACTCAGGGGTGGTCTTGGTCTCCACTGTCCCTCCAGGGTCCAGCTCAGTGTCCATGTCCTGTTCATCAACCAGGAGCCAAAGGGGCATAAAGAGCACTGAATCCTGAGGCCACCCAGCCACCAGCACAAATACTTACGCTTCTCCAGCTGGTCCCCGATCACCCTGAGGAAGGCCACGGAGATCATGAGCAGGTTGACGATGAAGCAGGCCTCACACAGCTTCCCGATGGCAGGTCCACACAGCTCTGCAACCACACCCTGGTAGGTGACCTTGCCACTGATGGAGGCAGCATAGCCCAGGATGACCAGCCCACTGGTCAGGAAGACCAAGGAGACCTGCAGAGCAGGACTGTGGGCCAGGGTGTTGCCACAGGCCACCACCCCAGCCAGCTGCCCCCAGAGACTTCAATATGGCTCCCTCCACTGGGCCTCTCACCTGCAGAGGTCCTGGCTGCCTACGGCCTGGGGCCCCTGCCCTGAAACCAGAGTTACAGAGCAGGTGGACTGTCAAGGCCTCACTGGCTGTCAGTCTGTTTATCTGGGATTCATACCATTCTGCCCAGTTGGACAAATGAGGCATTAGAAACCCCGAGTCTAAATGACAGTGCTAAAATTGCATAGGCTTTATGCATAAAAGTGTATCACCTGATGAGGTACAACGTACCTCTATCAAGATACAGAACATTCTACCACAACCCTCATGTACCCTCCTGTCCTTTCCTGGTCACTATCTGCCCCCATCCTGTCCCCAGAAGATACCACTGATCTAGTATTTTTCTATTTTGATATATTTTCGTATCTGGCTTCTTCCACTCAGCATCACATCAGTGAGATCCAGCCACACTGGGTGGTCAGTTGTTCCTCCTATTTTTGCCGAGTGCCACTCCACTGTACGGATATAGTCACATTGCTTCTTCCAGTCTGCTGCTGACACACATCTGGGTTGCTCTTAGTTTCTGGCTACCATGAATAAAGTGCTGAGCCCTCTAGAACAAGTCATTTTGAGCATGTACATTTTGTCATCCTGGACACACATTCAGGAGAATTGCTGGGTCAGAGAGTAGACGTGTTTTTAACTCTAGAAATTTCCACACTGATTTCCAAAGTGTCTGTGCCCCTGGACACCCCCATCGATGAGTGGGAGCCCCCTTTACTGCATGGGGCTAACTGGTTTTGAGCCTCTCCAGGACCGACAGCTACCTGTCCCCAAATTGAACTTGGTCTCCAGGCCTCAACACCCCTGCCATGGTTCTGGGGAAAAGAATGATGCATGAGCTCGGGGATGCTCGGCCAAGATGCCTGGGGGAAGCTAGGATGGCCGTCTTCAGACACCACTCACAGCCCTGGACAAGCAGATTTGTTCTGCATTAGTCCAGAAGCCACAACTACAGCTGCTGAAGAGAAGCATCTAATTGAGCGGTGTGAGAGGAACTCAAAAGTTCAGAGTCAGGAGGAACGCATGGCCCAGTCCAGCCGCTGAGCCTTTGCCCATGCTGGTTCCTCCACATGCAACGCCCTCCCGCCTCCACCACTTCCCCTCCCTGGGGGGCGGGGGGAACGCCTACTCTTCTTTCCCCTTCCTCTCCAGGTCATTTCCTCCAGGAAGCCTCCCTGACACTTCACCCCAAGGTGGACTCAGCCCCCCATCCCCGGCTCTGCTAGGACGGTGGCTTTTTGGGTGCACCTGTGCTGAATAGTGGTCCCCAGAAGACAAGTCCACACTGTCATCTCCAGCACCTGTGCAAGAGACTTACTGGGCAGTCTCTGCAGATGTAATTAAATAAAAAGGGGTCTTTGCAGGTGTAACTAAGGACCTTGAGATGAGGCCATCCTGGATCATCTGGATGACCCTGAAATCCAATGACAAGTGCCTTATAAGAAACAGAAGAGAAGACATAAAGAGAAATCTCTGCGATGATGGAACAGAGGTTGGAGTGATGTGGCCACCAGCCAAGGGACACCTGGGGCCACCAGAAGCTGGTAGAGGCAGGAAGGATACTCCCTTAGAGTCTCGGGAGAGAGCAGAGCCCAGCTGACACCTTAATTTCAGACTTCTATGTCCAGGATGCTGAGAAGATACATTTCTGTTGTTTTAAGCCACTCAGTTTGTGGTCCTTGGTCTAGCAGCCCAAGGACACACTTACAACTGAACATATATTACAGGGTCTCCAACATCTCTCACCCACAGCCTCTAGGTTCTGTGAAGACTGGGCTTGTATCCATTTTTGCTTACCATTTAGCCCCCAGAGAAGAGTCCGGCACATAGCAGGAACTAAGGACATATTTGTGGATGAAGAGAAGGGAGGTGGGGACAGAGGGAGCCTCTGCCAGTGAGGCTTTCTCAAGAGGGACCCTGGCAGGATAGCAAAGAGCCCTTATTGTCCCACGCCCAGGCTCTGCCTCTGCAGCTTCTAAGACAGGGTCAAGTTCATTAAATTTCAGTAATCCTCCAATGCTAATGGGGTCATGAGAGACCTACAACCCCGCACCAAGGACCTCCTGGTAGTGGTGATGTTTAAATGTTCCCCCAGTCTGAGTCGGTGCCTTGTAAAGGGGAAGGGCAGAAGTCTGGCCGGCTAAGAGGAGGGGAGTGGCAGGGAGGGGCAGGGTGCTCATTACCAGCCCGATTCCTTCCCTTGTGCCGGGTTTCCATTTATTCACATCTTTAGACCACAATGTGCCAGCAATGCCAGCAGCTGTGTCACTTGGAGCTTGTCAGAAAAGCAGTCTCAGACCCACCCTGAATCAGCATCTGCATTTCAGCAAGGTGCCCAGGAGCTGCTGCCCGAGTGTGGGGACTGGAGGCCCCTAGCTCTGCCTCACAGCGCTGCCTGCCACCCTCGACTGGCCACCTCTATGCCTGACCATGTCCCCTGCCCTGTAGCCTCAGGGCCTATCATGAACTCCAATGGCTGGAGAGGGAAGCTTCTTATTCATGGTCTGAAAGGGCAGCCTTTCTGCTGCATGCATCCAAACACAGCTACGTCCGCCCCTTTTGTGCATCTGGACAAGTTCTTCCATTTCCACTGGGGCTCAGCTCAACGTCACCTTTTGAGAGAGGCCTTCTCTGACCACCCCACTGTCATATGACCGTCCTGACACTACCCAACGTCTGAAATATCTTATTTGACTTCTTGTCTCCAGACTTGTGGCCTACAAACAGTTAGATGGGGTTATCAGCTGGCTGCCATGAAAAAGTGTTTGAGATGCCTGCCAAAGAGCTCACCACAAAACACAGGGCTCCTATCAGCCAGGAAAAAGAATCTTTGCAAATAAAATACAGCTGTGCTAATCAGTGGTTCTCCTCTGCTACAGAGGCTCAGCCCTGGGGTTCCTGGACAGGAAATTCAGGATGGAGCAAGCCCCTAGAAGTGGCTGCCTGCCTCTGACATGGCAGAGGGCCTGGCCCAGCCTGGGGTGGGGGGTGTCCCAGCTGGTCCTGGTCCTGACCTGATCCACACATGGCCTGAAGCTTTAGTCACGGATCTGAGACCAGCAGGCAAGTGAAGTCAATTAGCCAGGCGGTTGCTCAGAGGCCACGTGTTCTCAGCGCTTTCCCAGCTGAAAAGTCAGGTTGATTGGATCCAGGTGTTGTGCCAAGAACCCCCC